AAAATCAATAATTTGAACTGTCAATATTTACCTTTGAAGAAAGATTCCCTGATTTCTCCAACAGAGTCTTTTGGAGACAGTAAAACTCCCTTGGCCAAGAAACGTTTTTGAAACTTTGCTACCTTCCTTTTCAAGACTATTTGAAGAAAAGCACTTCAGTTAGGACAAAATTAAAGAGAAAAAATAGGGATATACACACAGCTAATTTTCCCTTTCTACTTTTTAACAATATTTGAACATTCTGTAAGACTTATTATCACACTTCATGCTAATATATACTACCCCTTTCCCCTTCTCATACATACACCATGCAAACTAGGCTCCTTTTTTAGCAACAGTTAATGTACATGTACTGAGTGGTGCTTTTTCTCCCTACCTCCTCTTTTCATTACAACTTCTAGCATGTGTTTACCACTTGTCACGCGTTGCTTCCACTCTTTAAAGGTAAGGAGGTGAGCAGTGTCCTGTACCACCTTATAGCTCTTTGGACCTCTAGCAAACACAGCACCTTCCATTCCAGCAACATAAATTGCAATAACAAAATGATTTTCCTTATTCTGAACTGGGAAGAATTTCACATTCCAGTGAGTAAATCTCCGAGGAGTACAACACCACTCCATTTCTTCAATGAGAGACTCCACTACTCGTTCACACTTTATAAAACTGAATTCGTCAAAGTCCATAGGATAACCATGTACAATGCTTTTATCTGATATCCCAAGGAGAGCTATCCCTCCAGTTACATTGGCAAAGGCAGATAATTGTTTTTGGATACCATATTTTTCTTTATTGATTTTCTCTACTACTGTATGAGAGCTGGAACTGTAATCTTTAAGTTGAACTACTCTTGACTCATGAAAATCCAGTGTCTTCTCGTAAACAAAAGTTACACGCAGACAAGGAAGTTTTTCAAGAGAAAATTTACACCGTGGTGTATCTGCAAGCAGCTCTAATGTTTTATTGAAAGATGCTTCATGTGTTCTGGCATCACCAGCCAGAAACAAATTGTATTCTAAAGTAATCAAGTGATCTGGTGCCTTGATAAAAAAAGAGATCACACCATTTTCCATTTTACGGTCAATGAGGTCAGAGTAGCTCAATGGCTGTATTGCAGGTGCCAATTTGTTCTCAAATGTCTGCCAAATGCTATCCAACTTTTTCCACTTACTATCTCCCAGATGTGAATAATTCTCTAACTTTATCTCTAGTACTCCACCACCAGAGTTGAGTAATGCACATGTAGCTGCAAGAATATCTTCACAGTCATTTTTTTTCTCTCCAAGGCTTATTTTTTGGTGAAGAACAGTTTCAGCCAGATCGGGCCTATAAAAATGCAATATTGTTGAGGTAACTTCAAACAAAGGTTATCTTGAAGAAGGACAAACTTAATTGTAGGGTAGGAAATTTTGGTAGTTGTTAATCATGCCCCACTCCATCCTGGTTCAATGTGAATGGTCAACTTTATGCAGCAGAGAAGTTGCATTCTAGAAATAAGCAATACTGGAAATGGGTAAGGGGTGTCAAAAGGTGACATTTTTCCCACACAACTTTCCTCAGATTATATCATTTTGACCAAAATGAGGAAGAGTTTTGATGAATTGATCACACTTAGCCCCAAAGAGTTTCAATGAACTAGTCACACTTAACTCCATTTAGAAGGTGAAGCAGCCACTGTAGATGCAATGCTACCCTCAATGCAGGGGACAACCATTAAACATAGCATAATGATTAAAGATTCTGACTTTTCCAAGCTGGGTTACAGTTGGACATTTAGGCATTGGCTGTTTTGAGGCAGTGAAAAAGTGTATTCCAAACACTGCATATAACCCTGGACTGAGGACAACTGAAATTCTCTCTTCAAGTGCTTGTGTGTAATTTACAGGAATATAAATTACAGAACATTTTATGTTATCAAAAGTCCAGTTTTTTTTAAGCCAGCAACTAACAGGTTCATTAATTTCTAGTAATCACTGAATGAAAGTGTCAGTCAGAGTTAGATAAGCTAATTACTACCATTCACAGTTTTTGGGTTAAAAAGTCATAAGAGATAAACCAATATGCCATGCCATGAACATACATGTAGCCATTACTTTATTTTGTGTAACCAAAGGAATACCT